CTCCTGCCTGTTGTCCCTTCTGCAGTCCTTCCTCCATCTGGTGATGAGCCTGTCCATCCTCTGCCCAAGTTACCCTCACAACCCATCCTTCCCTCCTCCCACCCAACCAATCCTCACAGAACAGCGAGATAACCCTGTCAATATCCTTGTTGGTGTGCAGCTGGCTTAGAGTTTCCTTCACCACACCCCACTGGGCCGTAATCTCATGTTGAACCAAAATTCTTTCTTGCTCCATGGCTTCCCCCTCTTCTACCTCTACTCCCTCTACTTCCAGGATACATCTTCTCCATCATATAACCCATAGGACAGCCCGCCTTCCCAAGCAGAACATATTCTCCCTTAATGTATTCCCTTGGATTTGGGGAAAGTGTCCCAGAAGTATAGCTCTCCATTCCCATGGCCAAGTCGAGCCCGGTATCATGTGTCGCCAAATCATATCCCACCACCTCCACAATAGGACAGTCGTGGGACACTGAAGGAAGATGTGCTCTATCGTCTCGGAGCATTTTTTATTGGGGTAGCCCTGGAGACATCTGTGACACCAAGGCAATGCTCGCCCCTGCTGCTCCAAATGGGAGTGATCTATTAGCCAATCGTTAGTTGGTAAGCACCGGTGTGCAATCTGCCATTGTAGGGCATAGATCTTTGTCGGTCTCTTTCCATAATCCGCAAACCACCTTATGGGTTTTAGCAAGCCGCGATCCACGTTGAGATGGCGATACCATCTATCTTCTACAATATCTCATAGCCTGCGTTTAGGTCTGAGCATTCGGTAAACCGACTTAGATTTTAAGTCAGCAAGTGTTAATGACCGTGCCCTTCCCCTCCTAGCTGGATTGCCAGAGCTTCTCAGATCATTCCAGGACCAGTGCCATTCCTCGGGATCGAAGGGGAGGTCCTCAATCGGGGTCCTGGGTCGATAGGCTCTCCATCCTCTACATTCGTGAAGAATTCTGACGCAAAATACTTCCTTTTTACCTTCCAGATAAAAGGTTGGTTGCTCTCTCGTAGTTGATCCTCTTGTTGAATGAAGAAGGCTTCGATAAGCACTTGTGTTTGGTCTACCAAGTGAACCCGCCCAACTTGATTTTTGCAGTTGGGGAAACCCACCCGGTCTCCTTCTACTAAACGAGGGCCCTTCCGAAGAGTGAAGTACCAGTGGAGGGGGAAACTGTCAATGAGTTCGTTGAGTGCGTCCTCAGTGAAGTGGCAGTATCGCAACCATGAACGCCTTCTTTCTGCACTTTTCCAGTCCTTTGTATTTAAGTCCCAAAGGTCCCCCACCCTCCTGACCCCGTGTTTCACCTAGCCTTTCCATGGGGAATCCGAGCTATACCTCATTCGACCGAGAGAGTCCGTGATCAGTCTATTACCAAACAGGGGTTGTCTGAAAATTTCCTCCCACCTATTTGGTGTCGGGCGATCAGGAGGGGGAAGCTTCCTCCATACTCGTAGGAGGCACAACCACTGTTCATCTGCGGGGTCCCCATTTCTGTGTTTTCTTTGTAGCTTCCAGCTCCTATCTTCAAGCCACACTAGAGGGTCAGTCTCAGGTGGGGCCTCGAGGGCCAAAGCTGCAGTTTGTGCCAAGGCGAGAGGGACCCAGGGAGAGGAAGATGAGAAGATGAGATGTCGGAGCCAACGAAAGTGGAGTGCTTGGAACTGTGTAGACGGATCCACAATTCCAAGCCCTCCTCCGGCCTTTGGCTGAATCATCGAATCCCATGAGACCCCAAGTGACATTAGCCGCACGAATGGATTTCAAATTCTCAACTACAGTCGCCGAGTAAGGTGACGCAATCCAGATTCCAGAGCAGATGCGCGATGGCTGACAAGGCCAAGCCCCAAAGGAACGACGTCAGTGGGAGATCATGAAGGACAAAAAAACAAACACATGCAAGCAACATTCTACCAGTCGACATGAGAACGAGAAAAACCACAACCAAAGAGCCATGGAGAGCACCAATCTACGAGCGAAAAAAGACAGGCACTGAAATTAACGTAATATAAACAACAAGTCTATGTCATGCACGCGTTGTCTCTATGCACATTTGAATTGTGCCTGCCAGAGACGGTATCATTAGGGGACCAAAACTTCCAAAAGTCTGCACCATGCTGGCGTTTTCCTTATGCAGGTTTACGTTGTGCGATGCTACCGTCTTCCCCCAGACACAATGCGCCCTCGTTGCGAGTGTATCGTTGGGCATGGAAGAATGACTTGTGTCGACCAGGGCGGGTTTTGCTTGCCTCGGGAGGATGGTAGCAGCAGGACTGGCTTTCACCTACGATCAGGCACGGATTTCAATCCTAGGTATGCCTCCGGTGCTTCTAGTGTAGGAATGGTAGGACTAACGAGATCAGATGGTGCCATACTGACCACAGAAGAGGGGTAGAAAAAGGGACCATGTTGTATCCACCCCACCCGAGATAACAAGAACCATCCATCCTATCTTGCTACCGTCTTCACCCTAATAGTACGCCCAATCACTAAACCACCAGTACTTCCTAAAGTCGTGCCCGTTAACGCTACGCAATTTTAGGAAACGTACGGGCCACTACAGGAGCGCCCAAATTCATCCAACTAGAAACGTTTCTACTCTATTTTTTTCCGCGGCCGATAGCTAGGCCAAGTATTGGTGGTTTAATGGCATATTTGGGACAACTTTCAGTCCAGACACAGGTATAATGACCAGGCATTGTATATTACGATAGTGACTCCCTACCCGACAATCAAATATTCATGCGTGAAAAGAAAGAAGAAGGGAAAAGAATAAGACGCAATCAAACAGCCATGACACAGCAAGGTGGGTCCATATCAACACTGGTCCAACATTTGGACCTGGATCCACATCATGATGGACCAACATTTGGACCTGGACCAACACTGGTCCAACATTTGGACCTGATTCCTGTTTGAAACTTCCAATCTCACAAATCTGTGAAAGACCATTGGATCTCACCAACCTAGTAAGTTGACCGAGCCCCTTAACTTCATTCATCGTATGCCATACTAGCATCTTCGCTTCGATTCGATTTCTAAGCGAATGATCCCCTAGTACGTTGACCGGGCCCCTTGACTTCTTCATTCATCATATG